TGCCACATAGAAAACATACATTCATTTAAATATTCAGAGGGCACATTTTGTAAGGCAGCTTCCTTCCTGCATGCACACAGCCTTTCTCAGTCCATGGGCCGAGAGTCCTAAGCTGCTCTCTCTCTCTATGCCATCACCTCTGTTGTTGCCGCTTTTCTGGTTAGGATCCCTTACTCCACTCAAATGCTCCCCTTTTTATAGTCCTAGGGTCCTCTGTTCCTGAAATGAAAGATTAACTACTCCCCCCATTTAATTACATATCTTCCACATTTACAGTTGTGACAATTAGTCCTGACAGTAACTCACAATTCATTCATAAACTCCCATCCTCACCCCCTTTCACGAAACCCATTTGGAAAAGAGGAAAACTATTCAGTGGGGATTCTACCTTACCCACCTTGTTCTGAAACTAAGCACACTCATGAAAGCTTGTAAGCCAGCTACTTCGTGCCTTTATGCTGTTAAATGCCATCAAAACATATCTGACCCATACCAACCCTGTAAAGGGTTTTCCAAGGAGTAACTTGTGAGCTTAAACCACCTATCTTCCAGTTCAAACCAACTCTGCAGTCCAGAACATCAACCCACAGCACTACACCAGGACTCCCCATGCCTTTATAGCCCCCATTTTTAATACCCAATGTCTAAGTTTCCTGGCCCTATCAATGATGAGACAAGCTTGATCCTTGATAGGAAGAATCCTTCCCTGGATGAATCCTTCCCTTTCGGTTGGAATTTTGAGCAACTACAGCCATATGCAAGCAAAGGACCAAGTTTATCAAATTGTAGCAATTTACTCTTGGTTGGGTATCAAACTTCTTTATCTTCATCTGGTTGAGTTCTGCCTTCAAGCCATCAAACTAGAACCCATGGGTACTATATGCAAGTGTGGGAGTTCTCACCCGCTTCCCCCCACTTCAGACCAGCTGGCAGCTTGATTCTCAACTATAGCCCTGAGTGGCTTGAGAGTTCACATATCGTCCTGAACTTCAAACAAGCCAGCCCTTCTTCTTCACTCTCTCATGAGCAGGTCAACAGGACATGGTCAAACTCAGCCCATGTCTTCAATGCTGCATTTGCCACACTTCCACAACCAAGTAGACCAGGGCAGTCACCAGCGAGCTTACAAAGCTGCTTGTGTATTCCCTGTGAGTTTCAGTTTTAGAAACACTGATGGACTGACTCTTCCTGCCTTGACGGCTCCAAAGAAGACACCTTGTTTAATATTGTAACAGCCCAACAGTCTGCTTTTTTATCCCTGCTGGTCTTTCTTTCAAGAAGTATCTTCTGTTCCTCTAGCTGCTCCAGGTTGGTCTGCATGTCTTTTCAAGTGGGAATGTCCCACCTCAGAAGGTTCTGTGTGGGGCGCAGGATTCCACTTCATACTCATACTCAACAAAGACTTAACAAGAAGCCTATTTCACTGGGAAAATTTTAGTGCCCCTTTTAGCTAATCTCAACAACCATAGGCTGAAGACGGGCTTATAAACTTGCTGTAATCATTTCCCATGTTGTCCTCTATCATTTGTGACCATAAACATCATTTCCTTGGCAGGTGTTCCTGAAGACGGCTGCTGTCCTAGCACTAGGCTGTGTTCCAGGCAGCCACGAAGGTTGCCCTGGTGGTCTTGGTACTCCTGTAGCCTGGTTTGCTCAGGAACTTGTCAAAGTCCCCGATAAGCTTACTGAGGACCTAGTAGTGTTCCCTGACCCCTCGCAGAACTCACTGGAGCTAAAAATGCTGGCAAAGATGAACCCACTGCTGTTGTGGTTTTGGAAACAAGTCTTGGAGACCTTTACCTTCTCAGCCACTTGTAGGGGACAGTATTACTCAACAGCCAGTTGGCCTGGTCTCACATAATCTGGATCTTGGTGTAGGTTCACTTCTACATAGCTGTGGTAGCTAACTCAGAATCCTCAAAAAAAATTGTCTTTACAAAGTATAATTTTTAAAAATTCATCGCAGCTTTTTTTTTTTTTTAAGATCAAAATAGCCATAAGAAAGATTCTAGAAATTGTAATTGTTCAAATAGTTTGCTATTTATACAGCTCAGTATCTTTCCTAAGATGTCTACAATATGTGCCAATTGTAATACTCATGTAAAAGAATGAGGTTAGGTCCCTATCTCAGACCATAAATAACAATTTACTCAAAATGGATGAAAAACTTAAATCTAAGATATAAACTACAAAAAAAAAAATAGGTGTAAATCTTAGTTACTTAAGATTAGCTAATGTGTGCTTAGATATATTACCACAAGCACAATCAATAAAAGAAAAAAAATTTATTGAACTTCATAAAATTTCTGTATTTATAATTCAAAGGATATATTGTTATTGTTGTTAAGTGCCATCGAGTCGATTCTGACCCATAGCGACCCTGAACAGGGTTTCCGAGGCTGTAAATCTTTATGGGAGCAGAAAGTCTCATCTTTCTCCCGCATAGCTAGCAGCTGGTAGTTTCAAACTGCTGACCTTGCGGTTCACAGCCTGATTCGTAACCACTACGCTACCAGAGCTCATATATATATATACACACCCCTATAAATAAATATGTATATACATTGTTAAGTGCCATCAAGTTGGTATAAGGTTTCTGAGAAGCAGCTGGTAGGTTTGAACCACCAACTTTGCGATTTTTCAGTCCAGTGTTTAACAACCTGCAGTGCTAACACCAGGACCTCCATATATACATAACTTGTATCCAAAAATTATAAAGAACTATTCAATGATAAAAACACAACTTAATTACAAAATGGACAAAAAGTATAAATAGATATTTCTCCAAAGAAAATACATACATATCTATCATTAGTCATTATGGTAATGCAAATCAAAATGATAATGAGATACTACTTCACATCTAGGAGCTCTGGTAGCATAGTGGTTACGAATCTGGCTGCTAACCTCAGGGTTAGGAGTTCGAAACTACCAGCTGTTCCACAGGAGAAAGATGAGGCTTTCTGCTCCTGTAAAGATTCACAGCCTCGGAAACCCTGTACAGGGTCACTGTGAGTCAGAACCGACTCCACGGCACACAGCCACCAGCACCACCACCACCACTTCACATCCAGTTTGTTGTTATTGTTGTTGTTGCTAAGTGCCATCATGTGGACTCTGACTCACACTGACCCTATAGGGTTTCCTAGAAACAGCTGGTAGGTTTGAACTTTCGACCTTTTGGTTTTCAGTCTGGTGCTGATAAAAATAAAAAGACACATAATAACAAGTATTGGCAAGAATGTGGAGAAATCAGAACCCTTGTATACTGCTGGTGAGAATGCAAGATAGCAGAAACCTCTTGACAAAACAATGTGGCAGTTCCTCACAATGTTAGACGCAGAGTTATCATATGACTCAACAATTCCATCCCTACATATACAAAGAAATGAAAATATATGTCCACTCAAAATCTTGTACATGACTGCATAGAGCCGTATCATACATAAGCGTCAAAGTGGAAATAAACCAATGTTCGTTAAATGATTGATGGATAAATGTGGTATTAGCCATAAAACAAAATATTTTTGGCAGTAAAAAGGCAATAAAAATATTGATACATGGGTTAACATGCTGGACTGCAAGATAAGTTTGAACCTTGGGACCGACTCAATGGCACTTCAAAATAACAATAATCTTTCATGGACCCTAAAAACACTATGCAAAGTGAAAGAAGCCAGTCATAAAGGACCACTTGCTGCATGAGGCCATTTATATGCAATGTCCAGAGTAGGCAAATAAGGAGACAACAAACAGACTAGTGAATGCCTGGGACAGGGAGGGAGCTGGGGAGCAATGCATGTGACAGCTAAAGGGCTGATGACAATATTCTAAAACTGACTGTGGTGATGGCGCCCTCCTCTGTGAATACTGAAAACCACTCAATGACACACTTTAACTGAGAACTGGACAGTACCTCTATCGTATCTCAGTAAATATGCTACCTGCACAAAAATAAAATTTCCTGGAAAAAAAAAAAATCCAAAACCCTAGCTCTAGGAAAGAGCCATTCCTGACAAACATCTATGTTTTCATTTATGCAATGAATAATATCATGAATTGTGCTAACTTTTCAACTTGGTTACCAGGAAATTCACAGGTAAAAGAAAACATCTAACACAAGGAGCTCTGGTAGCGTAGTGGTTACGAATCGGGCTGCGAACCTTACGGTCAGCGGTTCAAAACTACCAGCCGCTCCGCGGGAGAAAGATGAGGCTTTCTACTCCCATAAAGATTTACACCCTCGGAAACCCTGTACAGGGTCGCTATGGGTCGGAACCGACTCAACGGCACTTAACAACAACAACAACAACAACACAAAATTTAGCTAAGTTTACCACCTCAGTTTCTGCAAACCACCTCCAATCCCTCTTTGAAGCAGACAAAATATGATGCTTGGCAAATATTTTTGCTTTGCTTATTTGTGAAATACAAAGGTAAAAGGGGAACCACAGGGAGGAAATAGGATAACTGTTCTTGCAGGGAGGGGATTGCAATTGCTGAGATGAAACAAAGTGTACAATTTGCTGACTGTAAAGCAGATGATCTTGTCTCTAAACTCACTCAATTCACAATTAAAACATTAAAAAATAAAAAAAAATTATGATACTTGGCTAAATTTTAAAACCTTAAGAAACACTGAAGTTCTTATGATTCCTACCAAGGTACAGAAACCCTATGAAGTTCAGCTTGAGTTCTGCCACCCAGTCCACTTTCTCTTAACAAAAACCGAGAACATTTAGAGAATTATGAGTTTTTCCAGAAGACTTTTGCCCCTAAAGTTACATTATATCTATATGGTCAGTGGTTCAAGCTCACCTGCCGCTCCTTAGAAACCATATACAGGGTTGCTATGAGTCCAAACCAACTATATGGCACTAACAACAATGCCATTTTGCACATTTACCATATATGCAGCATACAAAATAATCTTTGACATGTAACATAACTAGTAAAGTAAGGCACTATTGAAATGTCACTAGAGGGATATGTATTCCTACCCGAACAGGTGAGGAGGACCCCTCTGTATTTCGCTTCTGGGATTCAGTGTCCACATCCTGGCGTTTGTTCTTCATTCTTTCCCGAAGGTCCCCTGTAGGCCTTTCTGGTGACCTTTGAACCAAAAAACAATAATAATATTTATATAACATATTATAAGAACATATTTACAGACACAATCTCATAAACTTCCATACAACATCTATAACTGTATATGATTCTTAATGTTAATAAAAACAAACCATCTACTTCAGTTTAAATGTTAGTATGTATAAAAATGAGCAATAGTTACAAATTTTCTTCTGATATAAATCAAAATTCATGCAATTAAAGTTCCATGGGAATATCAGGTAATGGTGAGATGGTTAAGAAGTTTTGTGTGAGCTCAGAAGGTTACTTGTAATTAACTGTTTGACATATGTTCCTATTAATCACCTATATATATAAACTATCTTCAGAAATAAAAGTTGGAAGATACATTATATTCAATCTAAGAATTCCAACAGCACTGTAATCTACACATACATGTGGATGGAAAAACATCAACAAGTGAAAGTATTTCATACATCTGAAGTGTCAAAACAAATATAGGAGATTCTGTAAAGCAAAAATAGGCCTCATAATTTCTGAAAATCTGGAATTATTTTAGAATAAAAAGCAGTTAAGGATTTAAAACAAGGATTTTTGTATAAATTATTTTATTTGTTTCTGTGTAATATTTTATCTGAAGGAAAAATACACATTTATACTAAGATATGGTAAGGCTTCATAACTTACACTGGGAATTAAAGTATATGACTCTTTAATAGTTTATTTTTGTGTTATTATCAAAAGGAGCCCTGGCAGGGAAGTGGTTTAGAGCTCAACAGCTAATCTCAAGGTCAGGTATCCAAATTCCATTTGCTCCAAGGAAGAAAGATGTGGCAATCTGCTTCCATAAAGATGTACCCTGGAAAGCCTTCTGTTGTTGTTGTTAAGTGCTGTCAAGTTGTTTCCGACCCACAGCAACTCCGTATAGGGTTTCTGAGGAGCACCTGGTGAGCTTGTAGTTCAAATGACTTTGCAGTCCAGCACATTAACCCACAGTGCCATACCTTATTGTGATTGTTGTTGTGAAGTGCCGTC